GAACAGAATATTGTCAATTTCACTCACAGTACAAGATTTGTTCCCGTGGGAAAGTTAACGACTAGATTTGATGAATTTGTAACGGCTCATGTCACATAGTTAGAAAGCCAGGAAAATTTTGAAAGGTAAGAGAATTTGTCTACTTTTGTATGTTATTAGTATATATTCTTTGATGCATTGTTTAATTAAATAAAAATTGTTAAGTGCATTACTATCTATAGTATACAAAATTAGGGTTAACTCTCATCGAAAACCTAAGAGCAAGAAAAAAGAAGATTGGGTAAGTACTTTATTTCTCATTTTTTATATTTATTCTTTATTTTTTATTATAAAAGTAACTAATATCTACAAATATGGATCTTTTTAAGTTATTTAAGACTAAATTAGGCAAAATAAGAAATACTAATAATATAATTAAAATGGTTCAGGAGGTTCGCACGCAAGCAGCTCATGGGTAATGGAAATCGATAGCATAACGTGAGCTGCATGTTCCCCGATTGACTTACAACTAATAATAGTGCAAATAGTAGTTAAACATGGTTCAACGGGCAATAAAACAATAAAATTTAATTATAAATAGATATATACTGTGACAAACTTAGAGCTACTAGGATGAACGAATGTAGTTTCATGTTACAATTTGAAGTCATTCTAGAAATAAAGAAAAATGGTAATTTAGGTTTACTTTGACTTTTTTTTTGGTGGTTACAAGGTTGGTCGAATTGACCAATCTCATTTTGAGACAGGGTAGAGAAAATAACAGATAAACTATAAAGTTTTCCTAAAAAAAAAAACGTTTGAAATGCATTTAGGAGGTTTTGGAGATTACATAAAGGAAATCTAAGATTTTTGAGATGAGGAAATGTATTTTTAATTTTAACAGGAAAATTACTTTGCACACAGACTATTCAAAACAAATACTCAATATATTAATGGACAAATCTTTATTTTATTCTATTAAAAATACTTCACTATAAAATATTATTTTTTGTACGTGAAAGACTTATAATATGAACTGAAAGACTGCCAAAATTTCTGAAGATATACACACTATATTGAAAGTTAGAAGTATTAAATCTATAAAGACTTTAATTGAGTACAAAGAGGTCACTTGGTCAGTCAAATTGAACGAGCCCATGTTGAGAGAGTTAATATCATTAGTTAGTGATGTTTTGTCATAGAATAATATTCTTGTAGCTTTCCAGTAGATAAAGTATCATAAAAAACTATGCATGAAAAAAACAGAAAATATAAGATCTGGGTTCTAAATGTTATCGAAGTTTTTAAAATTGTCTTTAAGTTCCTTTGTTACGACTGATTACAGTTGGTTGTACTAACTTCACATTTTTAAAATGCAGGACTCATTTTCACACAACACTAATGTACTCTCAACTACAGTGTTAAAGTTAAAGTTTTTGAACAAACAGAAAGCGTAGAAACATAAAATAGACATTAAGCTAACCAAAAATCCTAAAATTTGATTGGGAGAAATAAATATAAACTTAGGAGAGATAAAAAAATTTTAATTTAGATATGTGATGTTTGCAGTTCACACACACTAGCATATATGACAGAAATGTACTTGATTTTTTGTCTTGTGTGAAAAATATTTCATTGTTAAAACACGAAATTAACATAAAAGTTTAAGTAAAGAAATTCTTGAAGGAAAGATACAGGTACATTTTTTATTAATATGTATTCTGAGTGTCCCTTTGAGCTAGAAAGGGTTAAGCAATATCATGGGCTTGGTGGAGAAACACTTCCTTTTTCTGCATATATATAATTACAGATAATTTAAGAGCATCAACTGTTCTAACAGATGAAAGGAGGAAAATGCAGTTGGATAGTTTTTATTATTTTTCACATACAATTATGAAAGATTTTATTTTTTTTATAATCGGTCATAATACATGATTTTTGCATTTTTAACTAGTCCCTTGTGAATATATACGAAAAAAAGGTGTGATTTTTATGCATGTGTTATATTCACTTTTGTACACCCTAAAATTGATAGTTTTGTAAAACAAAGAAATATGGATTAACTTCAGGCACCAGGACCATCTAAAAAGAGATCTGCAACAAGCTGTACTCTAGTTGTGGTAAGTAACATGTGCTGTCTTGTGATACACACTAGGATTTATTAGAAATAAGTATACACCTTCTTATTTGGTTGCAGCAGAATCAAACACACAAATATTTCCTGATGGATTAAAGGTTGGAAAAATTCATGTGCATCTGAAGAATAAATACATCATTGTTATGGCTAAGAACATAATTACCCATCAAAGAAAATCAAAAGGGTAACTTTGAAGCCAAATGTATGAAGCCTGATATCAAATCATCACATAAGGACAGCTTACCACTTCACATAAAACAGCTGTACATTCTTACAGCTGATCATTGCAACAGATTGTATTGATTTGCTCATGGAATATCAAGATATCTTCTCCAGTGGACCTCACCACTTAGACTAAACAAATATCTCATAACATAGATACTGGAGATGCAGCCCCAATACTTCAGTTAAACTCAGAAGGCCAGATAGCCAGATGGTTCCAAAAACTTCAAGAATATAACTTTAACAATGTGCATCACCCTAGATGGAACTATGGAAATGCTAATGCATTATACAAAGACTATGTGTTAATGAAAAATGTAAACACTGTGAAAAGAGGGAAACACGAGACAGTAAGTATGACTAACATAAAGTAGAACAGAATATAGTCTATGATAAGACATTCACAAGTGATGATGAAAAAGAGATGTGGTCCAACACTTAATTGAAAAATGTTCAGACAAAAGATACACGTTTGAAACCAGTTATTCAGTGGATCTAGAAGAGTGCAGATAAAACCCTCATGGCAAACAATTCTCCATAGAGTCCGAAGAAAAAGGTGTATTGTGGAATTCATTATGCCTACAAGAGGGCTTGTTATGTCAGAAATGGGAACATAACAGTACACAAAATTACAGAATTCAGAAGGACAAGTTGTCCAAGTTAAAGATCATCGACTGTTTTTGGAAGTACTTTAGTGAGAGAATGGTGAGTTTGGTTAATTTCAGAGAAAAATTTGCCAATGGAAAGTTCACCTGCTGAAGAGCCCAGAGTTCTTGTTGAGACCACTTCTATTCAATTCACTTGACCACCTACCTATGGAGAACTTCCTATGTTACAAGACAACAAGTGATAAGAGGCCTTCCCATGTGTATTCCACAACCCTCAGAAAACAAAACCACCAACTTATTTAGTGAATGGACAGTTTAGAGTACTATCTTATTTGCTTATTAGGAATGTTGAAAGGACTTCACAATCCAGTGTTGTAAGTTTTATTTTCAATGTTTTAATTCTGACGTTTGTTTGCTAGAGAGAGCTCATCATTACATGATGCTGACTCTATGATCCAGAAATTTTGTGGAATAGGAAGAAAATGAGTACAGTATATGAGAAGTATACAGAAATATGAGAAGCAGTGAATTAATGAGTAATCAAGAGTATTGACGGAGTCAGTTAGTGAGTGAATAGCGAAAGTTATTGTACCTCTTTGTCTGCAAATAAGTATATTTGTGAGTCAAGTGTACATTAGTTTTTGAAAGTACTGTTTAGAGAAGTTAAGTGTACAAGCAAACAATCTAACAAACAATATTGAAGAAATGAATTAATTCATTGTTATTACATGAGACTGGATTTGACATTATTCTTAACCATATAATCCAAAAGAATATGTTACAACAACATAAAGTACACTTGTGTATGTGAGCTTGTGATAATTTATCCTAACTGGCTGAAATATCATGCAAACATCAAGGCTTTATATTTACTATATTATCTGAATTTTAATTAAGTTAATGATTTCTGTTATTGTTTTAATTCAATATTATACAAGTTTGATCTTGGTATTTTAAATTTAGTACATCACTGTAGGAGAAGCATTGTACCATGCTTTGAACTTGTGGTGGAAGGTTTGCAGATTCAGGACTTGCTCACATTATGTCGTTGTGTCCTTGGGCAAGAAATTTCACCCAAACTGCTACAGTCTACCCAGCTGTATATTAAGCACCAGCTGCAATGAACTGTCCAGGAAAATCTGTCACCATTCTCTTCCGCTCGAGTGATTGAAACCAGAGTTAAACACTGGATCATATGTGCCACCTAGGCATGGAATGGATTTAACCCAACTCACTTGAAAGTGTATATTCATATTTTTATAACTCTTTGTCTAATTATTTCAAAGCTGCTGCTCATACATTTACTAATTGGAAACAACATGCAAACCCTGTTCAGTCTTTAAGAATTTCTTTTAGGAGAAAATTACCAGCAAAAATCTAAATGTAGGAAAAAATTCTTACCACTTACTTTACTTTTAGCTTCTTCTTCAGCTTTTCGTTTAGCAAGCAATTCTTCCAGAGAAAGTGGTTCTTTCTTTGGTTGTTTTTTTTCATCGTCATCATCTTCATAATGGTTCTTATCCCTGAGATGAGAAAAATGTTTATATAATATATGCTTTTCTTGTTTGTATAAAAGTCTTTATCGTGTCTCAATTTTACTTTAGAAGTGAGATATTGAAATCTGGAAGGATTCAGTCTAATAACTCTGCTGACTAGGTAGTTAAACAAAGTAAGTTACTTCATCTAGAATGTCATAAACCTTTATTTTCACTTCACTGACTATTGCAGACAGAATCAGACAGTACTCTTGCAGTTTTGTGAATCAACTTGTTAAAATCTGAATCAATTAATGGTTCATTTTTTGGGGGGAGTGCTAGACTTTTGCTGCTTTAAGCAAATTAACTAAAGAAATTTAATGGTAGTATACTATCCTGAAGATGTGTAATTTTTCTAAAAGGTGAAAATTTAGATTGGGCTGGATGTATGACCTAAATCTGTTAATCATGAAAGTTTTTTAGCTAAGTCCTGTATCTTAAGTCCTTCTAAATATCAATTTGCATACAAATTATGATTATACTGGAAAATGTGTTACAATTAAAATTTCTACAGTTACTTCACATAAAACCAGCTCTTCCAACAAAGAAAAGGAAATAACCCTATTCTGAGCTTTATAATGCAATTGCTATTACTCAAGAGTGTTGCAGCCTTCAATCCTTATTGTCATAAAATGAGGGTAACACTGAGGTTTATAATGTTCGAAATGTTGTAGCTTAGTTGGCTAAAGCTTCTTCCCAGTTAGTGGAGTTGAGGATTTGAATCTTGTATGATCTCAAATTTCATTTCAAAAAAGTTCTTAATTATAATTAGATAATCTATAAAGTCTCAGTAGTGTTGTTTCAAACTATTATCATTTGCTAATACATCTTGTCCACAGTTCTTTCAATACATGCATTGGACCTCAGATTGTTCTTCCATACAGTAACTCGAAGGGTGAAAATTCTGTACTCACTTGTGGGACTTCTCGGTAAGCAAATAATACTGCCTGCAGTACTAATTCCAATCACATGGTCCTTCCTGCCACATCTTCTTTAGCATGCTCTTTAAGACTCCACTGACTTTCTCACAAAGTCCATTACATCGGTGGTTTGTACGTGGTGGTAAAGAGCTGCCAAGTGCTGGTAAGTCTGCACACCTCTTGCATCAGTTCAGGGGTAAACTGGGTCCCTCTACCACTCAAGATTTCTTTTGGAAATCCTACTTTGCTTAACACTTCAAGGAGGGCTTTTGCTACTCTCTCCATCTCAATCTTTGGCAATGCTATGGCTTCTGGGTAACGTGTCACACAGTCGACTACTATCACTATATACTGGTTGCCCTTGTCAAATACATGTGCTAGTGGTCTAATCAAATCCACAGCTATTCTGCTGAACAGCTCTTCTATGAGAGGCATTTCACCCAGTAGCGCCTTGGCTACCTTCCCTCTGGGTATTGTCTTTTGGAAGATGTCACATGACCTGCAAAATATGGTTACATCTACAATGATTCCCAGCCAATGGAAGTTGCTGGTGATTCTTTCTGCCATCTCCTTCACTCCTAGGTGCCCTTCCACAATCAACTTGTCAGCCAACTTCATCACTTGAGTCCAGTATTCTGTTGGTATTATGACCTGTTTAACTTCCCCAGTAGAACTGTCTTGATAGATCCAGTATAGCCTTTTCTTTCAGTTCTCTATCCTGTAAGTCCCTTTCCCTTTGGTCTTGTGCTTGACTTTCTCCTGGACACTGTCCCAAAGTTTCTGTAGTGAAGGGTCTTTTTTCTGTGCTTCCTTCAGTTCCCATAGACTACATTCAGAATGTCACCTTTTGAGACTTGCAGGGGCTTGATGTCTTGCTTGCTTGTTTTTCTTCAGCTCCTGTGGTGACTGCAGATGCCTCAGACTCCTTTCTACCGCCAGATATATTGCCAAGTTGTAGATGGGTGCCTTCATACACATAACCTTAAGGTCTCCCATGTAGTATGGAGTGTCCACCTTCATTCTTGCTATGGAAAACTTTCTTACTGTACCTGTCATCTGATACTAGACATTCTCACTGCTGCACCTAGTGTCTCGTAGGACTTTCACATTCTCATCCCCAATATAATTTCACCTGCAGGCATGTTGTGGTGTGTTTGCACTTTTCAATATTTGTCACATGCTTTGATTACCACTGGCACTGTTGACCCATTTGCTGACCATCAATCATGCGCTGTTTAATCATGATGATAGTACTTCCTTCTTGTGGTGAATCTGATGACTTGTCTCTATACTGTTTTTCTGGCAGCAGCATCCAAGGTGACAGTCACTATTTTCTTCTTTCTTGCCAGCATCATCTTTATAGGCAGCTAATGCTGCTTAATGTTGAGATTTCTGCAGTTGCTTGTTGGTAATAGATGTGCACTCACTCGCAATGTGCCCCATTTTATAATAAGCAGATTATCTTTTCTACCATTTGTCTCTTGACTTCTTGTCACCTCTGGTGGCATCCTGCTTTTGGTCAGCTACCCCTGGTTTCAACTTTATCTGGATATTCTTGGACTTTCCAGTTATACTCCCTCCATGGGCTTTCATATACTGTTCTGCCAACTTGATCATCTCATCCATGTCTTTTGGTGCTCTCTCTTTTAGGAACAGTAAAGGAAGATGACATGGATGCTTTCCTGGAGAGGTATGAAAGATTTGAAAAAAAGTCAGAACTGGGACATGGTGACTGGGCAGTCTGTCTCAACCCCCTTCTCTCAGGAAAAGGCCTACAAGTGTATGCTGGCATGATTTCAAAAGATGCCATGAACTATGACAAGTTAAAAGTGGCCTTGCTGAAATGATGTGAACATTTACTAGTAAGGTTTTTGTTGGAAGTTCAGAGAAGTTAAACCTGACACTGGAGAAATTGTATTTATGGCACATCTATGGTGATACTTCACAAGGTGGACTGACATGTCAAGTGTGAAGGTAATGTGAAGGACTGGCATTTTTATTGATAGGTGAGCAGTTCATGATCATGTGCTCCACTGACATGGTTAATCAAATTTTGACAGCTTTGTTCAGCTGGCTCTGAACCCATTGCCATTCTTGGGTCCTTCATCTTTATGTTGGGTGAGCTTGACAATCCCAATCTCTTATCCTCTCTAATTCCAGTCTCTACTTTCTCTTTCTTCCTCTCCTCTCTGTTGATACTTCTCTCTTTAGGTTTTGTTGTTGTTTGACAAACTCTCATAGATCACATTCCTTGAGCCCAAGTTGCTCGCTCCTCTGAATCCACTTATCAAAATCATTCAACATGGTTATATAGTGTGGTTGTAGCCTCTACAATATTTTCTAAACCACTACAGCTGTGCATACATAGGCCTGTTTCTGCTGTCATTTAAGTCTTCTACCATTGTACAATCCTGGCTCGCGTGCCACTGTCAGGTTTTTATATGTATGGATGGGCCAGTTTCTTTACAGTAGGTGTGTGACTTGTTGGCAATAAACTTCAACAATAAACAAGCAGTACACAGTTCATTTGTTTTAAAATAATATATTAAAACAAGACAAGTGTATATGTATGTACACACAAATGTTCATTACACAGTAAATTATCACAGTTGTATCCAGAGCTTTAAGTAATATATAATCATCTCTTTTTGTCAAAGTTCACACTGGTTTGTTAAATTACTTCAGAACACAATTGACAAGTTATTCTTCTCTACTCTATTATTATGATACAATCTGTGATAATTCACTTTAAAAATTGCCACTATATGCTCTTTATGACTAAACTCACAATCACACAGTCTAGATCTATCTGTCAATCTAACTATCTCTTACTTGAACTAAATTTTGTAAGCATATTTGTAGACTGACAGAGGTCTAGATCATTCTACACACTACACAATATTATGATGCAATAATGCTCAACTGAAACAAGGAGAACAACTTACAAGTTTCTAGTAACATCATGCAATAATACAATAAGTGCTAATTCACAACAATTGAACTAGACAATGTATGATTCATACACAGTTAAGTAAATAAACATGCGATAAACTATCACTTCAAAAATAACAAAATTGAACACTCACACTATAGTTAAATGGAAACAGTCATGTATACCTAAGAGAAATTATCTTGCATATCACCATGGCCATATAGGGTAATGTGCAGTATTTGCTCATAAAGGCTTTGTCTTGATTTCACCTGTATGGATTAGGATACTGTCATCACTGTCTTTTTTATTTCTGGCAACTATAAACTTGTGGAAGTGCCTGTTGGTTTGCCTTGCTGCACAGTATATTTCATTTAACCCTTTCAAGACAGGTCAAGGGTGAAAGGCCATGTTATCTTGTTTGTTGACTCACATTCAAAGTTTTATTTAACTAGTATTTCATGAATTTATGTCGATAACATTGGTATCAAACTGTAGATTATAATTCAAATTTTAGTACTATATATATATTCTCAATTTCTTAATTTAAAAGCAAATGTTAAAAACACAGATAAACATCAATTTTTGTGTGTCAAGTGGTATGTTGAATGCAGCAGTAGTTCAAATAAGATATTTGTGAAGTCAAAATACTAAGTCTATAGTTTGAATGAATTAAAAACTCAATTACTGATATTGATAAGCTAGAATATAAAACAAGAGCTTTTTATCTTTTTAGTTTGGTGAAATATTGCACATGTGATAAATCAAACACAGTGGCACCTAGCCCACCTCTTTCCATTTTTGGAAATGCTCCTTTATATAAACTTTTATATATGACGTGAATAAGCAATCGGAAGCTCAGAATGTCCCCTAGTAGCTTTCTCAGCCATTTTAACAGACTTGGCACCATTTCTTTCTTTTGAACCAATATTTCAACAAAGTAGGGTGTGTCTTTAGTCTGCTCGAAATTTCATATTTTTTTTAGACTAAAATACATCTCAATTATTAAGCTTTATAAATTATAGTGAAATTCTATGGTATTAATGTAGTAATTTATGATTTTTTAGTTATTCAAATGTATATATAAAACCTAAAAAAAATTATTTCATTTCATATCCTCCACATGCGAAATTTTTAAAGGCTTAGCAACCTAAGTCAAACAGTAACCGAGTACAAAAGTTGTAATCAGATGAGAGAATTGTTTGCTTCACTTATGTATTTATTCTTCAATGTTTTAGAAAAAATAAGCTTAAGAACTTATTTCAAAATAGCAATAATCTATATACACATATAATGTATAATAATTGAAATGTGACTATTTTACAAAATACTAGTCTACTAAAACACAGCCAAGACAAGTTACTTTGCACAGACCAAGGATCAGTTTTATGTTATTTGATACGGTAACATGAGAGCACGTGAGCCACATCATTGTAACTTCTGTATTGTTAGCCAGGCATGGCTGAAAGGTCAACATAATAAAAATAATAAATATCTATACTACTATTCTGCTTGTTTGTATGTACGACCGTTATGCTTTCTGACCGAGAACCTGCTGCATAAGCATGCGTAGTTAGAATGTTATTCACTTGACAACAAACAGTCCGCCTGTGGCAGAGAGCTGCAAAGCTCAGTGATCAAGTCGCT